GGAACTGGAGCACAGATCCAATTCCCTAAATCAAGAGCCCCTCACCAACATCAAGGAACCTTCCTTGAGGGGACACCAGACACAAACATCTCTACGACATTCCCCGTGTCCGACTAAACCTTTACAAAAACTCAATGTATGTCAAAGGCCCTAAAATCTGGAACACCCTACCTGAAAACTCTAGAACAGCAGACACATTCATCACCTTCAAAACTACTGTTAGAAAACATCTTATCTCCCTGATACACCCCGTCAACTAACTACATAAAAACCACCTGGTGGTTCACACTTACACTCTCACTCACCCATTTGACTATAAGCACAGAAATGCGTATCCTAATCTTAAAATAATGATTCCTAATTAGTCATAAGTTTGCCTGTGATACTCCAATATAGAAACTATGTATTGTGCCAAAACAAAAGCATTCACATTGCTAAACTCACAAATTAGTATTTGTCACTTAGTATTTAGTCACTTAGGATTTAGTCAACTTACTCCACAGTTTGTTATAATTTAGGGTTAAGAATTAATCTAAGTTTGCCCGAAATGCCTAGCCATGCTGGGTGTTCTAGTGGCCCCCTCTGTAATTAGTACTTTACTACATGTAAACCACACAATAACCAAAATCTGTAAACTCTATATTGTAATCCTTATATAGAATAAACTTTGATTTGATTTGATTTGATCACAAGTGCAAAGAAAATGATAGGATGGATAATGAGAACATTCAGAACAAGAGATGCCAAGCCAATGATTATCCTTTTTAAATCACTTGTTCTCTCTAGGCTGGAATATTGCTGTACATTAACATCTCCGTTCAAAGCAGGTGAAATTGCAGATCTAGAGAGTGTACAGAGAACCTTTACTGCACGTATAAGTTCTGTCAAGCACCTTAACTACTGGGAACGCTTGGAAGCTCTTGACTTGCACTCGTTGGAATGTAGGAGGGAGAGATATATCATAATCTACACTTGGAAAATCCTGGAAGGAATGGTCCCGAATCTGCACACAGAAATTACTCCATACGAAAGTAAAAGACTGGGCAGGCGATGCAAAATACCCCCAATTAAAAGTAGGGGCGCCATTGGTACACTAAGAAAAAACACCATAAGTGTCCGGGGCCCAAGACTGTTCAACAGCCTCCCACCAAGCATTAGGGGAATTACCAATAAACCCCTGGCTGCCTTCAAGAGAGAGCTGGACAGATACCCAAAAGTCAGTGCCGGATCAGCCGGGCTGTGGTTCGTACGTTGGACTGCATGCGGCCAGCAGTAACAGCCAGGCGCGGATCTAGGAACAAAGTTTGGGGGGGGGCCCGACGGCAGAATTTTCGGTTGTTTAAAGAGCATTAGCATTACCGTTTCTCCACTAACGGGATTCTTATTTGTTAATTACTGGCGGACTGACCTAAATGAATGGGCATAACCATCTGCTCTAGGTGCTAGTGTTTCTCTTCAATCCAAATGAGAGGGCCGATTTTTCTGAGAAAAAAAAAAACACTGACCTTACAATGTGAGGAATTTTGTATCTTATTAAAACTTTATTGAAAGTAAGAATTTAATAGCTAGAGACTTTTACATTAGACCTTAACTTAAATGTAGAATATATATATATATATATATATATATATATATATATAATATATATATATATATATATATATATATATATATATATATATATATATATATACATATATATATATATATATATATATATATATATTATATATATATATATATATATACATATATATATTTTATTTTATTTTTTTATTATCACACCGGCCGATTCCCACCAAGGCAGGGTGGCCCGAAAAAGAAAAACTTTCACCATCATTCACTCCATCACTGTCTTGCCAGAAGGGTGCTTTACACTACAGTTTTTAAACTGCAACATTAACACCCCTCCTTCAGAGTGCAGGCACTGTACTTCCCATCTCCAGGACTCAAGTCCGGCCTGCCGGTTTCCCTGAATCCCTTCATAAATGTTACTTTGCTCACACTCCAACAGCACGTCAAGTATTAAAAACCATTTGTCTCCATTCACTCCTATCAAACACGCTCATATATATATATATATATATATATATATATATATATATATATATATATATATATATATATATATATATATATATACCTGCTTAAGACAGTAAGCATTATACTTTATAATATTACCTATAATAGTAGCCTTAAAAGTAACATGCAAAGGTTATTACACTGAAAGGATTAATCACACTGCAGCCTAAGCAAAGAGAAGACGGCGGTTCCTTTCCGCAAACTTGTTGATCACACGATCAACAGGAACATGTACATCGTTATGGACGGCGAGTAGTGCGAGGCCGTTGAGGCGATCCTGACCTATGGTGCTCCTCAAGTATGTCTTCAGGCGTTTCAGGGCTGAGAACGATCGTTCGGCTTCTGCATTTGAGACTGGCAGGGTCAATAGGATGGTAAGGAGCTTCGCGATGTTCGGAAACATACGGGCCTCGGCGTATTCCTTTGCTTTCTTGACAGATTCGAAGGCCGGAGCGGAACATGTCCACCGCTGTGTTTCCGTCTGCACGAGCAAAAGTGACTCAACGTCACTTTCGTAGAGTTTAGTGGCTTTAAGAACAGCATCCACGTTTGCTTTTGAGCCCCTGAGCAGCTCCTTCAATCGGAGAGCAACGGGCACAGTGTCATCATCAAATCTGCTCTTCAACTCAGCGATCACATGGTCAACGAACGGAATATACACCGAGCGCCGATAGTACTCCTCAGCAGATGCCGCTGGGACATTCGTGCGTTGTGTCTGTCGTGCACAGACTCTGGGAATAGGGACGTCATCGTGAGCTGAGTCCACTTCAACTAGAAGATCTTTGGCTTTCACGAACACAGCGTGGAAGTACTCCTCGGCATCCGCTCTAAATTTGGAGAATAGAGTCCCGATTTCACGAATCAGTGCGTACACACATACCAGGTCATTTCCTTTTTCTGTAGGGTTCTGCTTGGCTGAAGCGTGTGTGCCAAAACGGACTCGGCCACAACCAACCCAACGAGAAAGCGGGGGTCCCGAATCGCAGCGAGTAGGAGTCCGGCGTTGGCATCCAACTTCATCTCATCCTCCAGAAAAATAGCGATGAGAGGCAAAAACTCGATGAACACGAGGACAGCATCGTGCCGCTCGACCCATCTGGTGGGGCACAGGGGCACCAGCTTTTCCCGCTGGAAATTTACCCATATCTCAGAGATATGGGTAAATATGTTGAAACTTAGTCTAATAAAAATTACAATTATTTTTATTATTATTATTATTATTATCATTATTATTATTATTATACTCTTTCACGGTAGGCTACCGTAGGCATAGCTCCAAGGCTCCAACCCACTCCACTCTGGCACTGTCCCACAAGGCCCCAAAACAGGCATAAACACAATAGCCTAATGTATTAATCTTGCCCTGGCCCCTTTACCTGGTGCAGTAAGGCCACTGAATGGTTCATGAACCCTTACCCTCTCGTCCTGGTTCGTGCCCGGCTCGCAGTGAGTCAGTATGTGTGTTGGAGCCTTGAAATACCGGGGGACGGTGTCTCACCGTCACGGGGTCACGCCGCATCAGCCGTCTGATGTTACCACGTGCTCTCAACATGCAACACTGCTTGACGCTCGCTGAGGCTGAGCCTCGCTCTCTCAGAGCCTGCCTGCCTCTCTGGCTGTTATGCCAAATTTCTTTCAAATTAGGACATTTCCACGATTTTTTTTGCCACATCTCATTATTCTCAGCATCAATACAGCTCCAAAATTTTTATTATAAGTATCCAACCTTAAAAAGCATTTTTGTATTGTTATGGAGCTAGAGGTATTAGTGGTCTGTAAACTTGCAAAGTTGCGAAACAAATTTAAATGCATCCCAAAGTAGTGGCGTAACTACGGGGAGCCTGGGGGGTCCGCCCCCCCTCACTAGAGCTGTGGCCCCCCCCCACTTGAAAAGGAGTATCTGCATAGTTTTGTGTCTAGAAAAGTAAATATATATATCGGCGTTAAAATCTCAAATAATTCGGGAGGGCATGCCCCCGCCATGTAAAGGATTGGCCCCTCCTTCCCCTCGCCCCAAAATGAAAAAACAGCTATGACACTGGGCCAAAGCCCAAAGAGGGCCAAAGGGGGGGGCCCGGGCCCCCTGGGCCCCCCTTATATCCGCGCCTGGTAACAGCCTAGTTGACCAGGCCCTGATCCACCGGGAGACCTGGTCATGGACCGGACCGCGGGGGTGTTGATCCCCGGAATAACCTCCAGGTAGACTCCAGATAATAGTAATATTGTTATTAATAATACTACTAATATTATTATTAATAGGATATTAGGAAGAACTGGTATAAGAATAGAGCTGTAGTGGCATCACTGAGGCAAGACCTTTGGGTAGATTTAAATATAGGTCTGAGGAAGACCTGCCTAGCATGGGCCAGTAGGCCTGCTGCAGTGCTCCTTATTTCTTATGCCCTTTTTCCCCTTTCTATTCTGAAAGACTCTGCCTTAAACAGGGCAGAGAACGTTTGAGAGGTGGGTCTATGGTTAACATTAACGAGTCACAGGGCTGTTAGGAAGTACTTCTTCAGCCATGGAGTTGCCAGGAAGTGGAACGACCCACACAGCAAAGTGGTCGGGGCAGGATCTATGCATAGTTTTAAGAAGTATGACAGAAGTCACACATCCAGGAGAGAACCCCATAGCGACCAGCAGAGGCGGGGCCAGGAGCTAAGACTCAGCCCTTGCAAACCACATATGTGTATACATGTTGGTAAGTACAAATAGGCGAGTACATATAGGTGAGTACAAATAAGCGAGTACATATAGAGTACAACTAAATACAAATAAGCGAGTACAAATAGGTGAATACAAATAAGCGAGTACACCCAAGTGAATACAAAAGGTAAGGACAAATAGGAGAGTACAGTGTTGCTAAGATAGTACAAACTGGTCATGTTGACCTCCCCCGTCAAGGCTGGTAGACTCACCTCCCCCGTCAAGGCTGGTAGACTCCAGGTATGAAGGTCTTACCTCACCAACACCAGTACAATTATCACAGTTATTCCTGCGTACTGGTTTGAGACCTGTGCAGCAGTTGGGTATGAAAGTTAAGACACTTGTACAACATCTGGTTATCTTTATTGTAGACGTTTCGCCATCCAGTGGCTTTATCAATACAGATTCTTGGACATAATTAGAAAACAGAAGAACTATATTGTATTGTATACCTGTCTTGCACAACTTGTCAGGCACTGCAACATCATGGTATCTTGATTCAGAGGACATCTACATGACCTTCTTCACGACTTCTACAACTAGCCCATCAATTTGGGAAGGACCTACTTCCACTGGGGAATCCCGCCTACCAGTGACTATGCCCTCGTCTGCTACACGTCCCTCTTCACTGACGCCTATATAAGCGCCAGTCTCCTTACCTGTGCTTCAGAGACTCATTCTGCTGTTGACTCTCGCCCTGGCAGGTCATAGCAGCTCTCCTTACTTGCACAGTATCCCTACGATCCCCGTTGGGGAACCTCTACCATCTCCACGATGTCTCATCGTGTGAGAATTAAGCCCAAGTCTGCTGTCGTCGATGACGCCACGAAGCTTGAGCTTGCAGCTTCTCTCACCACTTGTCTGCACGCAAAGTTCTCCAAGATCACGTCACTGAAGGAAGCTTTCATCGTCACTTTTCTCGATGATACTGAAGCTGACAAGATGCTTACACCTACAGCCATGAAGACCTTAGAAGACCGAAGCTATACCATCTCTACGTCACCATACATGCTTGCAAAATGTTCAGTGTTTATGAAACGTCTTGACAAGCTGATCACGAACATGACCATCCAGGAAATTACTACATCACTTGAAGACCTCAACACCTGGGCCAAGATTGACACTGTAGTGAAGATCCCCAACGCTTCCTCAATGCTCAAGGTCACATTCCTGGACGTTATCATGGCGACCAGAGCACTGTCGGATGGCCTGGCCATCTCTTACTACTACATCAACCCTCGACAGATTGAACCTGAACGCTTCACGTACATAACACCTTGCTGGACATGTTACTCGTACAGTCACTCTACTGCCGACTGCCACGTGAAGAATAAGAAGATATGTTCCACCTGTGGGTCTGCAGGACACGATTTTCGTTCTTGCACTTCCACTGCTGCTCCCACTTGCATCAACTGTAAGAGTGATCACCATACTCTTGCAGCCAAGTGTCCAGTGCGAAAGGATATCCTTTCTAAGAAACTGAAGGAAAAAACAAAGAAGTCATCTGGAACCTCTCCTACATACGCTGCAATTGCCAAGATTCAATCTACAACATCCAAGATTCTACAAGCTACTCAACAGTCGTCTCCACCACCTCTCACTACCCAACCTCCACCTGATGATATCTCTACCAAATTCTATTACTGCATGATGTTTGCTCACATGCAAAATGCTGCAAAACCTGGCTCTTTCAACACGACTATTAATGAACTTCTTGCACTTAACAACATGCCATCATTTAACTTCCCTGCAAGTCCACCATCAGCTGAAATTTTGAAAATAATCCCGAAGATCGTCAGTTTTGAAACGCCAGATGATTTGAAGGAATTAATAATTGATAACGACGACGCATCCTCTTTTGAACCCTCCAATCAACAGTCACCTGATAACATCCAAAACAGCACCACGCCTCCTATTCGTCGATTGGCTCGTCGTGGCGGCGCAAATATCATTCCTTCGCCTTCACTCACCACTACACAAATGGACCAATCAGAAGCCACGATTCCACCACAGTCTTCTATACACTCTGTAGCGGAGACACCAACATTGAATGAACCTTCAATGCTGCAACCACCAACAAAAACCTCACCAGTCATCATGTTGAGTCTAGTCCTGACTCTTCTCTCTTCGACTCAAGCCATTCCTCTCACCGTCTATTCTTCGCACTGTCCCCACTTACCCCTCGACCCTCGTGGGTCCTTACCTGTGAGTCCTCTGATGATGATGAGGGACTGATTACCTCATCTTTTGTATATAGTTCTTCTGTTTTCTAATTATGTCCAAGAATTTGTATTGATAAAGCTACTGGATGGCGAAACGTCTACAATAAAGATAACCAGATGTTGCACAAGTGTCTTAACTTTCATCTTGTCGGTATTGTATACCTGTCTTGCACAGCATTTGGGTATCTATATTGATGAAACGTTTCGCCTACACGGTAGGCTTCTTCAGTCAAATACAAAGGCAGCAGTAGTAGTGAAATACAGATGATGGAATCAGTCCATCAGCCTCGGAGAAAAAGCATTTGAGGTGGTCAGTCCCTCAGCCTGGAGAAGAGTTCAACTCTATGATCTGGAACGATATCGTTCCCTTCAAAACGTATGTGATGCAGAGGGCCCTTCAAAACGTATGTGACGCCGAGGGCCCTTCAAAACGTATGTGACGCCGAGAGCCCTTCAAAACGTATATGACGTCGAGGGCCCTTCAAAACGTATGTGACGCCGAGAGCCCTTCAAAACGTATGTGACGTCGAGGGCCCTTCAAAACGTATGTGACGCCGAGGGCCCTTCAAAATGTATGTGACGCCGAGGGGCCTTCAAAACGTATGTGACGTCGAGAGCCCTTCAAAACGTATGTAACGTCGAGGGCCCTTCAAAACGTATGTCAGATCGAGGGCCCTTCAAAACGTATGTAACGTCGAGGGATCTTCAAAACGTATGTGACGCCGAGGGCCCTTCAAAACGTATGTGACGCCGAGGGCCCTTCAAAAGGTATGTGACGCCGAGGGCCCCTTCAAAACGTATGTGAAGTCGAGAGCCCTTCAAAAGTATGTGACGCCGAGGGCCCTTCAAAACGTATATAACGTGCAAGGCCCTTAAAAACGTATATGACGCCGAGGCCCTTTAAAAGTATGTGACGCCGAGGGCCCTTCAAAACGTATGTGACACCGAGGGCCCCTTTAAAACGTATGTGACGCCGAGGGCCCTTTAAAACGTATGTGACGCCGAGGGCCCTTCAAAACGTATGTGACGTCGAGGGCCCTTCAAAACGTATGTGACACCGAGGACCCTTCAAAACGTATGTGACGCAGAGGGGCCTTCAAAGCGTATGTGACGCCGAAGGCCCTTCAAAACGTATGTGACGTCGAGAGCCCTTCAAAACGTATGTAACGTCGAGGGCCCTTCAAAACGTATGTAACGTCGAGGGCCCTTCAAAACGTAAGTAACGTCGAGGGCCCTTCAAAACGTATGTGACGCTGAGGGTCCTTCAAAACGTATGTGACGCCGACTGCCCCTGCAAAACGTATGTGACGCCGAGGGCCCTTCAAAACGTATGTGACGCCAAGGGCCCCTTCAAAACGTATGTAACGTCGAGGGCCCTTCAAAACGTACGTGACGCCGAGGGCCCTTCAAAACGTATGTAACGTCGAGGGCCCTTCAAAACGTATGTGACGCCGAGGGCCCCTTCAAAACGAATGTGACGCCGAGGGCCCTTCAAAACGTATGTGACGCCGAGGGGCCTTCAAAACTTATATGACGACGAGGGCCCTTCAAAACATATGTAACGTCGAGGGCCCTTCAAAACGTATGTCACGTCGAGGGCCCTTCAAAACGTATGTCACGTCGAGGGCCCTTCAAAATGTATGTGACGCAAAGGGCCCCTTCAAAACGTATGTGACGGATAGGTCCCCTTCAAAACGTATATGACGCCGTGGGCCCTTCAAAACGTATGTGACGCCGAGGGCCCTTCAAAACGTATGTGACACCAAGCGCCCTTCAAAACGTATGTGACGCTGAGGGCCCTTCAAAACGTATGTGACGTCGAGGACCCTTCAAAACGTATGTGACGCCGAGGAGCCTTCAAAGCGTATGTGACGCCGAGAGCCCTTCAAATCGTATGTGACGTCGAGAGCCCTTCAAAACGTATGTAACGTCGAGGGCCCCTCAAAACGTATGTAACGTCGAGGGCCCTTCAAAACGTATGTAACGTCCAGGGCCCTTCAAAACGTATGTGACGCCGAGGGTCCTTCAAAACGTATGTGACGCCGACTGCCCCTTCAAAACGTATGTGACGCCGAGGGCCTTAAAACTATGTGACGCCGAGGCCCCTTCAAAACGTGTGTAACGTCGAGGCCCTTCAAACGTATGTGAAAAGTTTCGAGGGCCCTTCAAAACGTATGTAACGTCGAAAGGGGCCCCTTTAAAACGTATGTGACGTCGAGGGCCCTTCAAAACGTATGTAACGCCGAGGGCCCTTCAAAACGTATGTGACGCCGAGGGCCCCTTCAAAACGTATGTAACGTCGAGGGCCCTTCAAAACGTAAAGTGGACGCCGAGGGCCCTTCAAACGTATGTAAACGTCGGAGCCCCCTTCCCAAAAAGTATGTGACGCCGAGGGACCCTTCAAAACGAATGTGACGCCGAGGGCCCTTCAAAACGAATGTGACGCCGAGGGGCCTTCAAAACTTATATGACGCCGAGAGCCCTTCAAAACATATGTAACGTCGAGGGCCCTTCAAAACGTATGTCACGTCGAGGGCCCTTCAAAACGTATGTCACGTCGAGGGCCCTTCAAAACGTATGTAATGTCGAGGGATCTTCAAAACGTATGTGACGCCGAGGGCCCTTCAAAACGTATGTGACGTCGAGGACCCTTCAAAACGTATGTGACGCCGAGGGGCCTTCAAAGCGTATGTGACGCCGAGGGCCCTTCAAAACGTATGTGACGTCGAGAGCCCTTCAAAACGTATGTAACTTCGAGGGCCCTGCAAAACGTATGTAACGTCGAGGGAGCTTCAAAACGTATGTAACGTCGAGGACCCTTCAAAACGTATGTGACGCCGAGGGTCCTTCAAAACGTATGTGACGCCGACTGCCCCTTCAAAACGTATGTGACGCCGAGGGCCCTTTAAAACGTATGTGACGCCGAGGGCCCGTTCAAAACGTGTGTAACGTCGAGGGCCCTTCAAAACGTATGTGACGTCAAGGGCCCTTCAAAACGTATGTAACGTCGAGGGCCCTTCAAAACGTATGTAACGGCGAGGGCCCCTTCAAAACGTATGTGACGCCGAGGGCCCTTCAAAACGTATGTGACGCCAAGCGCCCTTGAAAACGTATGTGACGCCAAGGGCCCCTTCAAAATGTATGTGACGCCGAGGACCCCTACAAAACGTATGTGACGGATAGGTCCCCTTCAAAACGTATGTGACGCTGAGGGCCCTTCAAAACGTATGTGACGTCGAGGGCCCTTCAAAACGTGTGTGACGCCGAGGGGCCTTCAAAACGTATGTG